CGAGCTGCCCTGTAAGAACACACGGTCACCGCTACCATTTGTGTCGCTCAGCTCCAGAAACCCTGGAAACTTTGGAGAAAAATGACCGAGACTAGCTTCGGGGCACCTCGTTCGTAGTACGCGAGACCCCATACCTGCTATGGAGACCTACCAAATAATTGAGGAGCAAGGCTGGGAGACCAGTCCCGCTCATCATATTCTCCTGACGTAGTCCCCTACGACTGCTACCTGCTCCGCCTCCTTAAGGCTTTCTTAGCTAAGAAAACTTTCAGCAACTTTGATGACATCAGTCGAGAGGCTGCCGACTTACTCTACTCGCAGCCTCCTCAGTTCTGGGAGAGGGGGAGTTACCTGCCCATTAGGTGGAGCACTGCAGTGGCTAACAATGACGAGTATATGTTGACTAATTCCCACTTATGTTGAGTTAGAAAATAAAAAAGAAAAAGTAACAACAGTGACAAGACTTTCTTTCCAACCTATTATATTTCTAACCAGTTTCAGAGTAGTCAATGTAACCAATTACCATGCTCATCTAGGTGGTCTGTAACATTTCTGATGGGTAGGAAGCGCAGTATTATCAGGACTGCGACCTTTATAGATGGTTGTTAATATGAATAGGCCATGCTAAGGAATCCTTTGAGGGTTATTCTGAGGAATCCTTTCAAAGAGGTCCAACAGATGACTCTCTCCGCCCACACAACCAACATGAACTGCGTATTAGAAGCTCAATATTGCATTTGGGGGATGTATAGCTCAACTATGTGTGCATTTACTCACCCACATAAATAAAGCGTTCATTTGTGACTTGTCTGCATCATCAGAAAGGTGTTTCATAGCAACGTCAGCCGAATTCACTATGACATTTCGAACACTGACCAACTTTTTCTGCAACAGGTCCTGAAAAGAAAAAGCGTTGCACTTGAAACCACCCAAACAAAGTTCATTTCAAAAGTCCAACTAAACGAAACGTTAATGCCGAATAGTTCCCAATAAGCGTTGCTCGGAAAAACTACCACTGCGTGGTAGCCTAATGCATGGCGCATCCAGATAAATGCGCACTGTAGTTTGTTTTCACTCAACAGCTGTTCATTACGTTTCGCAAGTTGGCCATATCTTTACTGATAGCCTGTTAGACCATGAAAATTCGCTAACAAAAAGGTCCAACTCATACTATTAGGTTGTTCGGAAAGAAATGCGCGTTGAATTTGTCCATTTATTTCTCTCCTACTATAGAAGATTTTTAAAACAGTTTTGTCTATTAGAAAGAGATTTTTATTGTGCATCTTTTGATATATTTTTGTCATTCTTATCTATGTCTACTGGTTTTTCTTCGAAGAAAAAAAAAAGCTCTGAGACACTGATCAAGCACTGGCTTCGTCAAGGTGTTCGAACGACCGTCGACAAAACCCTTCCACTCGGACAACGCTTCGTCACATTGTCGCGAACATCACTTTGGGAAAAATTGAGGAATTGGGCTGGAAGTCCTGCCTCATCCGCCATACAGCCCAGACCTGGCACCATCCGATTACCATCTGTTCCGGTCGATGCAGCACTCTCCTGGCCGAGAGAAAGTTCACAAACCGCGAAGAAGTCCAACTCTGGGTGTCCAACTACTTTGAGTCGCAGCCGGCCGAGTTCTTCGAAAGAGGAATCCATTCTTTGCATAAACGTTGGCAACAAGTCATTGATAGTAATGGAGATTATCTTTTGAATTTGATCTTGTTTAATTTCGTTTTTATCATGTTATAAAAAAATTGGGCACTATTTACCCTTTACTGCCCCAGTCATCCGAAATCAGGCCAGTTCCTGACCGACTTTTTTCTCCGTGGGCAGATTTTGCTCAAATGTTGTCTCCTGGGGTAGTTTGACCTCCAGAATACGAATATCACATTCGCTCAGCCCGAAACTTCCTGGCGCCCGCGCCGCCACAGGCGCCAATGAATTGGGGTATTTTGGCGCCGGTGCCCGTGGTGCGGGCGCCAGGAGGTTTCGGGTTGAGCGGATGTGATATTCGTGTTCAGGGGGTCAAACTACCCCTGGGAGCAAGTTTTCAGCGAATTTGGTGATTTCGAGTATTTTGGCGCCGGCGCCCGTGGCGCGGGCGCCAGGAGGTTTCGGGTCAAGCGGATGCGATATTCAGCGGGACGAACTACCCCTGGGGTCAAGTTTTCAGCAAATTCTGCCCACGGAGAAAAAAGTCGCCTTTAGCAACTGGTCTGTATTTTCTTGCAAACACGTCCAACAGTGGGATAATTTGTTATTACTGGGGGACCAGATACTTGTTTGCAAGAAGGATAACTTTGAACTGGTGGAGCGGTGCGGGAGAGTGCCCTTCAACAGAGCTTCTACTTCTCTTCGTTTACTACCCTTTTTTATGGAACTACTCGTGTAACTACATGTAGGGAAACAACCTACACTGCCAACTTCGGTGTCGTAGAGTAGAACTTTTGTAGACGGATAGTGCTTGTGTACAGATCCGATCAGTACCAACAACTTATTCACAGCTGTGTGATCCGAGCTGAATGCGAACACCATCTGTGCTTTTCTAAAATTAGGTTTATGTTGTATGTTCCCTGTATCCAATGAAAGAGCACTGTTCAGAATGCGATCATACCGTTCTCCAGATGCCATTGGCATCGAAATGCACGAAAAGCATTCGCCACATCGCAATGAATCAGCAGTGGCGTTGGTGGCGTCGGCAATGATGGAACGAGGATAGCAGTTGAGGCTTCTCGCCTTCGTTGTCGTCATCGTCATTTGACATCGACATTCCTCTTGAGTTCGACGCCATTCCGCTGCGTGAGTCTCGTTGAAGTCAGATCGATAGTAGTAGAACTGAAAATGACCATTTCCCATCTTTGGCTCCATGTGTGCTGACCTAGTGGCACCTTATAAACAGCACTAAAAAAACTTGTAACAAGCCAACTGAAAGCGTTTACATCAGTCGGGGCATTTATTCCGTTTAAAAGGCAATGATCAAACTAATAAGTCGAAGATACTGTCTTAAACCTGTTTTTTGTGTAAGTGCATTTGTATGCCTAAACTGTTGATAAACACATTTTTTGGCTTGCTCGGGTTTTTTCCCCTGGAACTATAGCTTATTTTCAAGGGTATGAGCCGCATTTTTTCAGAAGGTCGCAGAGGCGCACGCGCACGGAATGGTTCTAGTAACAGTAGCAGCACTTTTAGTTCTTATTTGCATGCTGTACCCTCCTGACTGATATTCAGAATTTTTACTGGTTATTTACATACGGAAGGTGTGTTAGTGGAGTGGCATGCTTACCATGACCGCGGTCAGGGGTTCAAGTCCCGGACCGGCTCCCGTCCAGACCAACCAAGCGGGTTTCAAATCCTAGACCGGCTCCCGTCGAGCTACGTAGTCTTCCACCCTCCGGGGACAATAAATTGGTATCAGATCAACGGAAAGACTGAGACACTCCTTTTTATGCTTTCCCCGACTATTAAATCGGAAATAATCTACATCTCCAAAACCTACGGGCGACTTAGTTGGGGGGCCACGAGCGCCGTTGCTGTTTAGGGGTTGAGATGAGCAAATGGCTGCGCATAGGGCCGATATCCTCCAAACTCCTCTGTGGCCCCCCTTTTTTTTATTCACCACTGGAAACAGCTTCGGGGGGGGGGAAGGAGTGGTTGAGGGTACTCGCCATAGTTTTTTTTTTTTTTTTTTTTTAGTTCACTGCCAATTGTGATGATGGTAGGGGTAAATATAGAAATGCACGTGAACGGCAAAATTCACACAAACGAAACTAAAAGCCTGACCTCCAACACCTGTTGCGAATGAGGGCCAACAGTTTCCCACCCCCGGTTGGTCATTTTCCCACCATTTGCTGCTACACAGCTTTTGATGTCCCAAACCCCTTATGTTTCTCCACGGCGGGTCAGTTGGGCGGTCGCCTATTCATACTAGATAGGGCGGCGGAAAAATAGACGTGTACTACGTGCCCCCTCCGTACCACGCCTTCACCAGGCTTGATATTGATTATCTGTGAATTATTCAATGACAAGGAGTCAAATTTGATTCTCACCGTGCGCAATTCTTGTGGGGTCGAGACGGAAGTGTGATTGATGGCACATTATACTTCAGAGAACAGGAGGGGCTAAAGCAGCAGTCTTGATGCCATCCCTCTTGGGCCCGCTTTGTTTGACCTCTACTAGTTGAATAGCAGGTGTTTTATAAATAATTTTGTCATGATTCTCTACCCACCCTACTGAAGCTGCGCAAGACTCACAAACCCGCCCACGTGCAGCCGCTTCACGTCACGAAGCGTGAAATGTTGGAGGTCCTGCTTGCATGGTTAGCGCCCGTTGTCTAGAAATTTAAGGGCATAACTCAAAAGGTCCTTGGTTCGAGTAATTTAATGTGTAGGTGCGCATGGGTTTAACGGCTAAAATGTGGGAATAAGGGTTGAATGTAATGAGCGCACCCGAACAGTTCGCTGTTTCATTTTCATTCAAATCGATATTTTTCAAAGTTAGGAATAAAAAGGAGGGCATGATGTGACGGCTGTCATATGTCATAGCTATTTATTGATTTTTTGGTTATTGTGTTTTATTTACTAAAATCGACAACTAGTGGAAAACCGTACAATACACGTATAGGAAGACATTTCGGAATAATAATGCGACGATTCTTTGAATTGCTGGAAATGCTCCACATTCAGCGCATATTGCCGTCACATTATCATACACTTAACAAACGGAAAAAAATGAATGAAGGAAAGCTAAGGAGTTCCCTTCCCTAACCCTTACTTTACAATAGTGTCTCTCCCGAGTGATTCTCACAATCATTGATATCTATGTGATAAGAAAACCGTTTCGGAAAGGTGGGGATTTTGTTTAGAAAAATTGAAAAAGAAAGGAGAGGTTGAAGGGGAAAGTAATATTCTGCCCTCAAGTTACACTCGAAATCCCTAAGATGGGGTAGGCGTGGCTGCGTACTTCAGCCAGAGCGGGCGAGCTATCCCATAGTGAACATAAAGCCCCTGGAATAAGTCTAATCAGATGTCAGATGGATGGGGCAACTCAAC